CCTGGTTAGGAACAAAATCATCAATGAGAAATAATTGTCTAAATAACTTTTTATATGGAATTAAGCCTAATGTCTGGGAGGTGTAATCCCTTGAACTCTAAAAGAAATATACTGATGACTTTACTCTTTGGTTATACTTTCCTTTTGGGTGTTTAAGACCATACAATTGGTCCAAATAAATCAATTTATTTTTACACTTAAGGTAGTTTGAGGATGTGTTCCTCAAGGGTCACATGGGCTTGGGAGGAGCCCCTGGCCCCTTTCTTTTACCAGTTCCATCCACATGAAGATAAGTCAAAGGTCCTGAGCACTGACTACTCTTGCAGAGGACCGGAGTTCAATTCCCAGCACCCATGTGACAGCTAACGACTGTCTGTAACTCCAGTTCCTGAGGATTCGATGCCTTCTTCTGACCTCCATGGGCATTGTGCAACATGGGTACACTTAGACACAAATGCAGGCAAAACACTCATACCCATAAAAATATAAATAAAATATTTTTAAAAAGAAAGATCTCAAATGACACATTTTTGGCCTATCTATAAACATCCCTCTTAGTAAAATAATCCAGGATCTGTTTTGTGTCACCTACAAACTATGTGAATCTGAGGGAAATACATAATTCCTCTGAGCTTTCTGCTGGATCATCTGTGAAAATGTTTCTCTCTACAGGTCTTGATTGGGTTCGTTTTCTCCACCAGTTAAGGAATTAAAAGGCAGGAAGAATCTCAGATATAGCAACAACAAACTTTATTAAAAGTAAAGAAAACAATATGCATTCACACACTTACACACAGAGAGACTCCTCAACTGGAGAGGGGATTGGGAAACAAAATTCCAAAGCCCCAAGGAGGGCCTGGGTCTTTTAAGTATTTTTGGTGGTACAGGGGGGTCTCCCTCCCCTAATTTTGCATTGGTCCACTTAAAAAAAGAAGATAGGGCTGATAGGCTCAGAGTTTCAAGAGAGGAATGTACAGGTCCAGCTTTGGACTTACATACACTGCTCTAGACCAGTCAGTCTCAAGAGGGGCTCTGCTGGCGGGAGGAGGTGCCCCCAGGCTTTTGTCTCAAGTGAAGAAGCCAGAAATTTGCCATCTTTGTTATTTGCCGGTGTCTCTTTGACTGTGATACATCTACAATAGAACATCTACACCTAAGGCTCACAGAACATAGTCGAATAAGGGGCAGAGCAAACACTAATGCATCTCTCAACTCTCACTAACAAAGCTCCCTCATGCAACAGAGGGCAGTGAACACAAAAGGCCACAAATGACCAAAGCATACAGAATAAGAGTCTGCAGAGTGTGGGTCCCTGGGCAGGACTCCTATATTAAAGTTCACTCACCCAGGGCTCAGGGACCATTGTGGAAGAGGGGGCAGAAAGGTTGTAAGGGCCAGAGGAGGAGGTGCACGACCATATGGAAACAGAATTTTACAAGCACCTGAGACCTTGCTCATGTGAACCTGCAGCAGTGGTGTCAGCATGCACAAGACGCATGCAAACTCAAGCAGACAAAAACCCAGCATAGAACTGGGGAAATGGGCAGCAGGTACCAATCTTAGCCAAAGAACTATTGGCAGCTGATTACTGTTGGGTGAAGAAGAGCTGATCTTCTTTAAGGGAGTGACTCTAGATAGGCTGACTAGAGCCCAGTGGATGAACTTGCAGTGAGGGTCATCTGGGTACAGTAACTTGATTCCATAGACCTTAACATAATTGACAGAATCCTAAATGTATACGGCAGAATACATGAAATCCTGTGGGGGTGCTACAGGAGAGTGCACATGGAGTATAAAGATGATTAAGATGTTTTGTATGAAATACACAAAAATTCAATAAAAATATACAAAAAAATGGAAATGTGCCAAGGATGTAGCTCTGTGGTATGTGTTTAGCACGCACAAGAGCCTGGATTCAAACCTCAGCACCAAATAGATAAATTAATGTCCTTTTAAATGGACTCCTCCATACCCAAATTCAATTACTTTGAAAGTTCTATGACCTTAGTCTTTTAAGAGATGGTAGGGCTATTTCATACAAAATTTATTTTGTTTTTCCAAATGGAAAATGCTTAGATAAGTTGTGGGGGACTCCTCCCAGAATCCTTGTTACTGTCCTGTTTAACCATTTTGGAAACATGGATCTATTAATTTCTTTAGACCAGTTGACATTCTACCAAGGAAAATGCACATAAAATTTTGCGTGCATTATCATATCCAGAGGGTTGATGAAACCCTTGATGCCCACCCAATGTATGCTTGAGAATGGATGGTCCAAGTTGATAGCATCTACCTTTGAATATTAATTATGCCTCTCTATCTTCCAGAAGTAATTGCATTTTAGAAACTTGGTATAACTGAAATTCTACTGGTGGAATTTGAGATTCAGGCTCTAGTAACAGAGAAATCTGGGTTCAGGGGTTAGCCATTACTAGTTTTTAATTTATTTTGTGGTACGCTCACCTTTATTGATTTAAAAAGTATAATTATGACTAGTACACATATACCCTCAAGCCCTCATATCAAGGATTTAGTGGTGAAGATCATAAAAACAAAACAAAAAAAAATGGAGATTACCCAAAGGTTAACACGTTGCTGTTTTACAGGAAGAAAACTCATATTATATCAGTGAGGTGGGAGCCTATCTGACCATCTCAAATACAGGTTAGTATTTAGAGTAGCTGTTATTACATAGTTTTCTTCCTAGATTATTTTTCATATAATTGAATCTGATAACTTTAATGCTGCTTTTAAGAAATAGAATGAGGAAATAACCTGCATTACAGCTCAGGGGAATTTGCAATCTGTGTGTGCTTCAGTTTAACCACGTGCTCATGGAGGAGGTTGGACTAAATTATGTTGGTGATCATTGTCAGAAAAATTACAAGTCCTGTAACTTTTTGACTGATTTGTTTTTGGTAGTGCAATTTATTCTATGCACTACCAAGTCTATGAAAATATTTCTACAAAAAATATTATTGTTAGATACCAAGTTCTGTTTGTATTAGGTATTGAACAGACATAATTATTCAAACTGATAAGATCCTGTCCTAGTGGAGTTTGACTCCACTAGGAAGGTAGGAGGACCATAGAAACACACATTCTTGTATTCTTAAGTTAGTGATAAGTTTCATGAGCAAACCCAAGCCAGAGTGAAGGGGAACAGAGAGCTATTTCAGGTTGGCCTTTGGAAGCTCTCAGGGGAGGAAGAGTACTTTAAAGATATGACAGTATCTTCATTTGGGGATATCTGTCTTGGGGAAGTTTTTCCAGCTGGCAGGAAGAAGAGATAACAGGTCCTAAGGAGAGAGCTTGCTAAGGTAGTTAAAGAACAGCAGGGTTCTTATGTGCCCTAGAGAGTGTGCAGTGAGGTCCGAAGAATGGTCCAATGCAGAACCTGTAAAGCCTTGGGCAAGGTGAACTAAGAACTTGGGACTTGATTCTGTGCTAGGAATTTTCATGTCTGTTTTCTTCTTTTCAAAATGTTATCTTTGGATTGGCTTGGACATTATTTTATTAGGTAATGACCTCACACTAAAGAAGTATGCCAAGAAATGAAACCATGGGGTTGTACTTGTTCAAAATATTTACTATATTTTATTGATATCATTCAAGAGGATTTTGTCAATGATTGCTTGTCAAATGTAAGTAAATATCATAGCTGAAAAACTCATTTTCACATATGTTAACTTAATTAGACCTGTGTCATCTAGACTAGAGAACAAGAATTGTGTGTGTGCTAATATAAATTGCTTAATGTTATCATTAGGCATGGAGCAGATTTTAGCCAGTAATCATCTCTCAAATGACAGGGGAATGAATGGAAAACCAGACTAGAAATTAATATAGAGGCTAACGGGAAAACGAATTCGAGGTTACTATGATCAAGGATTCAGCATTATTAGTAGGAGTAGATACAGTAATGATGATTTGCATGTCACTGTGGTACCAATGCTAGTATTAGTAACAGCAATCTATCATAATTACAGTAATGACAACAGGCTTACTATTAATGGATATAAGACAGACAGATGCTAGAGATAATAGATAGAGCTACAGATATATACACACGATACAGATTTGTAACAATTTACTACATCATTTAGGACTAATTTGTTAATTTTTTTTCAGCTCATTAATTTTCCTGCGATTATTTCTTACTGTAACTGACAAAAGTACAAGATATTCGAGCCTTTCTGGCCCATCAGTTTTCTCCCATTGAGGAGAAAAGTGCTTGATGAGCATAGAATTAGGGTGAATGAAATAATTTGATCAAGATGTTTAACTTCATCTGCCTTAGCGTATTACCTATTTGAAAAGAGTGTAACTGATTTAATGAACAGACCCCTTCCCTAGACAGCACACACAATGAAAGAGCTATGCATTTAACCAGCAACCTCCTGGTGAGTTCTTCTTGTGCTGCACTGATGTATTCAGTCCTGTGGAATCCAGACACACGATTTGCAGATCTAACTGTTTTTGTTGTGATTCAGTATCATGCACTATATGAGAGCAATGTTGCTTTTCTTATCTCTTAAGTTCCGGCACACCGCTCTGTAGTCCCCAGGCACGGACAACTCTTATCACCGATGATGTAAAACTACCCTGAGGCAAAGTACTCAGTTTAATGTTCCCACATCCCAAACTATGTGAAATATCTCTCACACACTCCAAACAGAACCCCAGAAAAACCCCAGAAAAAGTTTGCCCATCTAGAGTTCTTTTTTTTTTTTTTTTTTTTTTGTCTTTTTGAAGCAAGGTCTCCCTGAAGCCCAGCTGTAAGGTACTTTTAATGAACAGATGGCAGACTCCAGGGCATCCCCATGTGAAGGAAGCCAGCTGGGCTGTGCATAAGCAGCTGGCAGCACCCGGAACTCAGTGGATATTGTCAGGATTCTTGCATATCTCTGTTTCACTTTTTCTCTTCAGAGAAGACCTACCAGGGAATGAAACGTACTATGATGTTTGAGACAGTGATTGGGCATTCCTTCAAATGTGTGAATGAACAAAGCATCCAGCTATCAGCCCAGCTTCTAATGAAAACAACGAATATCCAACTTCAAGCCTTTGACTTTGAAGGAGACTGCTTTGGAAATGGTGAGTTAAAGACTCAAGTCAAAAAGGCTTCAGAGATCCAGGGGTAATTCCAAGTTGTGTTTATTCTAAAGCTGCCAAAGGACTGAAAGCACTTGCCTTCTTATAACAGAAAGACATCACGAAGCTCTAAGGGTTACTCACATGGTTCCCCTCCTACACTTACATGAGAACCCAACTCATGTCCATTGTCTTCCCCAGCAGGATGCTTCCTCTTCATCTTACCAAAGCATGGTATTCTGAGTCATTTACATACCCCCCATACACACACACACATACACACACACACACACACACACACACACACACACAGAGAGAGAGAGTCAGGGAACACTGTGGACATCCTCTCCTATATATGCTGTAACTCAGACATGTTCAGAGGACACTTTAAAGGTTTTCAGAGTGTTTCAAGATTTCGTAGTAGAATCTTCCAACCTGCAGAAAGAAAAAAGCAAGATGTGGTAATTCAAGAAAGAAAGAAACTCTGTGGGATTCCCTTTTCTGGATTATAAGGCATTATACTGGACACTTCCTCATAGCCACTTTATTTTCCATCTGACTTCAGCGTTGGCTTTGAACCACACAGCTTGCCTGGTGCTTCCCAGGATATAAACTAGTCCTTGGACAAAAGCCAGGGCGAGGCAGGGCGCTTTCTAGAAAAGCTCTTTCTGTCTAGAAAACAGTGTTATAAGGACTTCCACAGATGATCAGAAAGATCACAAACCTCACCTAAAATGTTTCTCATAAGAGCTCAAAAAATGTTATGGGTTTTTCAATCATCAAAACCAGTGAAACTATGAAGTTCTAATATAAATCTGATTTTACTTTGAGTTCCATTATGAAATTAAAGTTATGTCTCATAGAAAACTGACAATTTAGCAAACAAAGGAGTCAGGTATTGTTTGCCTTTGGATTCTGGGTGTTGGAGGGTTTTGTCTGTGTTTCATGGTTAGTAAGCCTCAGGTTAGTAGGGCTCACTACAGTTAAGTTGCCACAAGCCGATCTGAGAGCTTCTAATGTTTAGTAAGTATTTATTTCTTTGCAAATTAATCAAGAAGTTTTGAAAAAACTCTGAAATTAATGTGATCACAAAATAAGGCACAGACTTGCTGGTTGGTCCATTTGTGAAGAATCTCTGTAAGGCAGGAAATGGATAGGTGTAGTGAATAAAATCTTTCAAACAGTAGGTTCCCATTTCCAGTGCTCAAAGGCAGATGAAGAATAGCTTTTCTCTTTGTTTTCTTAAAGAAAAGTACCACCATGCAGGGCGTGGTGGCATGCTCCTTTAATTCCAGCACTTGTTAAAGGTAGAGGCAGAGTTCAAGGCCAGCCTGGTCTACATGGTGAGTTCCAGGCCACGGCTACAGGGAGACCCTGTCTCAAAAAGACCAAA